CTACATTTCCGTTAGCATACTTTCCTATATTTCATATTATTTGCCCTTAACATGACAAAGTTCAAGAAAGAAAGAGAGAGAGTGGATGAGAAAGAGAGAAAAATAACATGACAAGATCGAAACACAGATGTGTATAACAAAATACAAGATAGGACAGTAAAGGTTATCTGAATAATGGAAATCAAATATTTTAAAGAGGTCAAGTCTGGAGATATTTTCTGAAATGGGAAAACAGGAGTTCTAATCTTAACATGGAGATCGAAGCAATGAGTAGACTTAAAGATAAAGGAATCATCCAACTGAGTTGATGAATATCTTTATGAAAGAAACTGCCAGTAATTGGACAGGCTTGCTACATTTCAAAGATGTTACATTTCCATGATGACAAAAATTTAGTTTTCTGCATTTGGAGTCAGGATAAATAAAGTCCAATAAGAATCTAACACGTTCTTCTGATTTATGGCATGGTGTGTTGTTTCATATTGCAAACGCAAATTTTCTCGTCAAAAACAAATTCAGTTGTGAAATTTGAGATTGTAAAGTCTGATAACTTTTGTTTACCCATGGTGTGAAGAAGTTTGTTTGCTCCTGTCCATTGTTCTTTGAGTAACTCCATAAAGGCAGAACATCTCACATTTGTTTGGCACATTTGCTCATTTAACTGCACCTATAAAAGATACTTTTGAAGGATTTCTGCTTACATTTTACCATAATATATTTAAACTCCTAAATGCCAATAGGAAAAGTGAAAGGGTTGATGATTTGTTACATTATCTGCATTGTAATTGTTTCATTTATATACCCTTTTATACAAGAATTCATTGATTTCATGACACATATTCTGTCACTTGAAACATTATATGCATCTTTTGATCATTTAGGGCTTAAAATTCCCTCACTGGATTGTAACATGCTATCATGGAATGTGTTATTCTAAAGAATTAATTTTACATCATGCAAAGCTTGCGAGAACAAGAAATACAACAACTCGTGCTTACATAGCACCATCAACAAAAGCTTAGTATTTAAGAGGATATTAGGTCCAATGAGCAAAAAGATCAACACCGTAAGTTTTAAGGAACGCCTTAAAGGTAGAAGAGGAATAAAGAAACAGGGAAGTGTCAGGAAAAAAATTCAAGCTTAGTTCTTTTAAATTATGGTGTAACCACCATGCAGTGATTCAAATTACAGGATTGCAAAAATCCAAACCAAAGGAACACTGATTTCATGGAGGGCGGTAATTACAGGAGCTTACAGAGCTAGTGAAGACAGAGGTCACTTAGGGACTGTGAAAACAAGGAGAATTTTAACCTTAAGATGTTGCTGAACTTGGAGCTAACATAGGTCAACATGCATATGGTTGATAGACAAAACAGGACTTGGTATAAGGCAGGATATGAAATGAGCTCACGTTAATTGACGATGGAAGGTCAGAATCTGACATGAGTTTGTTTGAACAGTCAAATTTAGAATTAACAAAGGCAAGAATAAGACGATAAGAGGAAACTTGTGGATGGGGTTTATTTAGATTTCCCAAAGGTACTTAATAATGTGCCACACCAGAAGATAATGCATAAAATGGTGTTGATAACAACAGATTAGTGTTGATGGAGGACTGGTTGGCTGATAGAAAACACAGAAAGCATTTTGGATTGGCAAGATGTAATGTGTCGAAATGTCACAAGAAACGATGCTGGGGCCTCAACTATTTACAATCTACAACAGTAACTTTGAAGAAAGGGCAGAATGCACAGTTGCTAAATTTGCAGATGACACAAAGATAGGTAGGAAAATAATTTGTGAAGACACAAGGTGACTGCAAAGGTACAGATTAGAACAAAAGTATTGGCAGATGACACGTGGGAAAACGTAAACTTGTCCACTCTAGCAGGAATAGAATCATAGCATATTACTTAAAGAGAGAGAGATTGCAAAACTCAGATACAAAATTATCTAAGTATCTTGGTACATGAAGCATAAAAAGTTAGGGTACAAGAAAGCAAGTGATTAGGAAGACAGGTGGCATGTTGTTGAATATTGCAAGGGATGAAACATAAAAGTAGGGATTCTCTACCACTGTTGTACAGAGCATTGGTGAGACCACATACAGAGTTGTGTACAGTTTCAGTCTCCTTATTGAAGAAAGGATATACCTTGCGATAGAAACAGTCATTTGACTGATTCCTGAAACGAGGGGGTTATCTTATGAGGAAAGATTAGGCCTTAAAACATTTCAAGTGAAAGGTGATCTTCACAGAATCATGATGGTTCAGGAGGCCATTTGACCCATCATATCAGCTCTTTCTTTAGAATTAGTACTATGACATTTTCCTGCTTTTCCACATAACCTCACATTGCTTCTATTCGAATAATCATTTAACATTCTCTTGAATGCCTCGATTGAACCTGCTTTCGTAACACTTTCAGGCAGTGAATTCCAGACCTTAATACTTGCTCTCTGAAAAAGTTTCTTACATCACATCTGCTTCATTTGAAACTTATTTTAAAACTGTGTCCTTTTGTTCCTGAGATAGTAGGAACTGCAGATGCTGGAGAATCCGAGACAACAAGGTGCAGGGCTGGATGAACACAGCAGGCCAAGCAGCATCATAGGAGCAGAGAGGCTGACGTTTCGGGCCTAGACCCTTCATCAGAAAAGGGGGAGGGGAAGGGGGTTTTGAAATAAATAGGGAGAGAGTGGGAGGCGGATAGAAGAGGGATAGAGGAGAGGATAAGTGGAGAGGAAACAAACAGGTCGAAGAGGCGGGGATGGAGCCAGGAAAGGTGAGTGTAGGTAGGGAGTTAGGAAGGGGATAGGTCAGTCCAGGGAGGACGGACAGGTCAAGGGGGCGGGATGAGGTTGGTCGGTAGGAGATGGAGGTGCGGCTTGAGGTGGGAGGAGGGGATAGGTGGGAGGAAGAACAGGTTAGGGAGGCAGGGACGAGCTGGACTGGTTTTGGGATGCGGTGGGGGGAGGGGAGATTTTGAAACTTGTGAAATCCACATTGATGCCATTGGGCTGCAGGGTTCCCAAGCGGAATATGAGTTGCTGTTCCTGCAACCTTCGGGTGGCATCGTTGTGGCACTGCAGGAGGCCCAGGATGGACATGTCGTCTGAGGAATGGGAGGGGGAGTTGAAATGGTTCGCGACTGGGAGGTGCAGTTGTTTGTTGCGAACCGAGCATAGGTGTTCTGCAAAGCAGTCCCCAAGTCTCCGCTTGGTTTCCCCGATGTAGAGAAAGCCACGCCGGGTACAGCGGATGCAGTATACCACATTGGCAGATGTGCAGGTGTTTTGCATCAAGATGTAGGAGAGTCGAGTGACAATCAGAGGAAATACAGGTCCAATGCTGTCAAAGTCTCTCCAATTTTCTTGCATGTTGTTGGAGAATCCACAGTTATCAACTACGAAGCTGCAACTAGTTGTTGGAGAATCCACAGTTATCAACTACGAAGCTGCAGCTTGTTGTTGGAGAATCCACAGTTATCAACTACGAAGCTGCAGCTAGTTGTTGGAGAATCCACAGTTATCAACTACGAAGCTGCAGCTTGTTGTTGGAGAATCCACTTTTGTTCTTGATCCTTTTACAAGTGGAAACAGTTTCTCCCCATCTACACTGTTCAGATCCCTCATGATTTTGAAAACTTATATCAAATCTCCTCTTATCCATCTTCACTTCAAGGAAAACAGTTCCAACTTCTCCAAGCTATGCTAAAGTATCTCATCCCTGGAACCATTCTAGCAAATCTCTTCTGCACTCTCTCCAATGTGCTCACATCCGTCCTGAAGTGTGGCAACCAAACTGGACAATTCTTCAGGGTCAAAAACAAAATTGCTGGAGAGGCTCAGCAGGTGGCAGCATCTGTGAAGGAAAAAACAGAGTTAACGTTTCGGATCCGGTGACCCTTCCTCAGAACACAGAACCGTTCTGAGGAAGGGTCACCAGACCCAAAATGTTAACTCTGTTTTTTCCTTCACAGATGCTGCCAGACCTGCTGAGCCTCTCCAGCAATTTTATTTTTGTTCCTCATTTACAGCATCTGCAGTTCTTTCGATTTTTATTTGGACAATTCTTCAGCTGAGGCCAAAGTAGTGTCTTATACAAGTTCAGCATAATCTCTATGCTCTTGTTCTTTATGGTAGAATGAATAAAACCTATGATATTATATGCTTTGTTACTGGCTCTCTTTCTGCCCTAACACCTTTAATGACAGATGCATTTATAGATCAAGGTCTCTCTGCTCCTGCACAATCCTTCAAAAAATACCTTTTATTACATGCTGTCTCTCCATGATCTTCTGACCAAAAGGTATCACCTCACACTTCCCTGCATTGAACTCCATCTGCCAAATTATCAATGATCTTTTGAAGTTCTATACTATCCTCACAGTTTACAAGCATCCAAGTTTGAATTGTCCACAAACTTTGAAGATGTCTCCTGTAGACCAAGATCTAAATCATTTAGTTACCAGGAAAACTAAGAATCTCAATATCAATCCATTGGGAACTCCATCACAAACTTCCCTCCAGTCTGAGGGATATAAATTAGCCATTATTCTCGGTTTCCGATCACTCAGTCAATTTTAGATCCATGTTGCTACTGTCCCTTTTATTCCATGAGCTCGAACTTTGCTCACGAGTCTGTCGACACAGCACAATAATGAACACCTTTGCAAGTTCATATACGTGTTATGAATAGTATCACCATCATCAACCCTGTCTGTTATCTCTTCAAAACTTCCAATTAAATATGATTTTCCCTTAAGAAATCCATGCACACTCTCTTTAATCAACTCACATTCATCCATGTTACTGTTAATTTTATCCTCTGTTACTGTTTCTAGTTTGTCCATCATCAAAGATAATCCGACTGATCTATAAAGGTTGGGCTTATTCTTGCACTCTTTTTTATATAAGGCATAATGTTTGCAATTTTCCAGTCTTCTGACACCACCCCCGAGTATAAGGATAACTTAGAAAAATTATCAGTACCTCCACAATTTCCACTCTCACTTCCTTTAGCATCCTTGGATACATCTCATCCAGTCAGTGCCACGTCAACTTTAAGTATCAACAGTTTATCCAATACCTCCCATTTGAACTCTTCTAGTAAATAAATTTTCATATTTCCATGGTCTCGGTAAAGAAAGAAAATAGTAATTTAGTACCTCAGCTGTGCACCCCCGCCTCAACGCGCAATTCTCTTTTTCAAGTCTTAAACAGGCTCCACTCCTTTTACCAATCTTTTATTAAAGATGACTTTGGGAATCCCTTTAATGTTCGCTGCTAACCTCTTTTCATATTCCCTCTTTTGTACTTCACCTCCCTGCTGAGCCTCTATATCTAGTTTGGTTCTTAATTGTATTTTCTACCTGGCATCTGCCAGAAGCACATTGTTTTGTCGTCTTTTGCTTTAATTCCAACTCTACCTGCCATTTCTGGGAGCTCTGGATTTGTGTGCCCCATCCTTCCCCTTTGAGGGAGTATACCTTGAATCTGATTGAACCATCTCTTCTTTCAAGGCAGCGCAACGTTTAGCCGTTTTATCCAGTCTAATCGGCCCAGCTCCATTCTTGCCTCATTGAATAGAGCACAGTTAATTATTCTCATTCTGGATTGTTCATTGTTCCTTTCCAGCAAGATCCTAAGCTTTATGATACAATGATCCTAAAGGCACCCCCAATGACAAAATGATCTACTTGGTCCACCTCATTCCCAAGATCAAGTCTAGCAATGCCACCTTTCTCATTAAAATGGGTACATTACTGTAGAAAATTCTTCTGAACATAATCCAGTAATGCTTGCCCTTCTTTAGTCTTTAAATTATACATATGTAAACTGAGATGGTGGTACTGTACAGTTCCAAACCATAACTACTCTTCTCTTTAAATTCCTTGCAGCTTTGTTTTTCCAAACACTCTCTACTGGTTGGTGGCCCATAGAGCATGCCGGGCAATGTAATGATCCTTTTTATTTATTAGCTTTAGCCAAATCAATTCTGTCCTTGAAACCTCTTAAGACATTCTCTTTCTCCAAAGCTTTTCTTAACCATTACTTTCTTCCTTTCCTATCTTCCCTGAACACTAAATATCTAGGAATATTGGCTACCCAATCTTGCTCTTTCTTTAACTAGATCTCTGTTACAGCAATATCATTTTGTGCAGCCACTTCCAATCAGAATAAGGGTGAGCAATCAACTCATTGGAGGAGGCAGCTCCACAAATATCCCCATCCTTAAGGATGGGGGTGCCTAACATGAGTGCAAAAGATAGGGCCGAAGCATTCACAACAATCTTAAGCCAGAAGTACTGAGTGTATGATTTACTTTGGCCTCCTCCAGACGTAACCAGGCAAGTGCCAGTCTTCAGCCAGTACAAAGCACCGAATAATGTAAAGGCTACGGGCCCTGAAAACATTCCAGCAAGGGTACTAAAGACGGGCTCCAGAATCTGCCGTACCCAGTACAGCTACACACTGGCATCAGCTGACCACATGGAAAATTGCCCAGCTATGTTCTATAAACAAGAAAAAAGGACAAATCCAACCAAGCCAACTACTACCCCATCAGTCTACTCTCAATCATGAGTAAAGTGATGGAAGGTGTCATCAGCAGTGCTATCAAGCAGTACCTGCTCAGCAATAATCTGCTCAGTGATGCCCTGTTTGGATTCCACTAGAGCTCCTGACCCTACACAGACTTGGTTTAAACCTGGACAAAACAGCTGAATTGCAAAAGTAAGGTGAAAGTGACTGACCTTGACATCAAGGGCACATTTGACCAAGCCTGGCATCAAGAAGCCCGAGCAAAGCTGGAATCAATGGGAATCAGGGAGAAGTTCTCTGCTGGTTGGAGTCATACCTGGCAAGTAGGAAGATGGTTGTGGTTTTTGGAGGTCAGTCATCTCTGCTCCAGGACATCTCTGGAGGGAGTTCCTCAGGGTAATGTCCTAGACCCAACCATCTTCCACTGCTTCAATGACCTTTCCTCTATCATAAGGTCAGAAGTGGGAATGTTTGTTGATGATTGCACAATGTCACAACTCCTCAGAGAATAAAGATGCCCATGTTCAAATGCAGCAAGACCTGGACAATATCCAGACTTGGGCTGACAAGTAACATTTGTGTCACACAATTGCCAGGCAATGACCATCTTCAACCAAAAAGAATCAAACCTTGACATCCAGTGGTGTTATCATCACTGAATCCTCAATCATCAACATCCTCGGAGTTACCATTTAACTGAAACTAAACTGGATTAACCGTATAAACACAGTGGCTAGGAATCCTGCAGCAAGCATCTCATCTCCTGACTCCTCAAAGCCTGTCCACCATCTACAAAGTACAAGTCAATACTGTGATGGAATTCTCTCCATTTGCCGAGCTAAGTCCAGCTCCAACAACACCAACTAGAATCAAGAAGCCCCATATCTACTCCCTTCACTATAAGTATCATAACTATAACTATCAGTAGCAGTAGTGTGTACCATCCATAAGATGTACTGCAGAGATTCACTCAAAGCTCCTTAGGCAGCACCTTCCAAAACTATGACTACTTCTACCCAGAAGTACAAAGGCAGCAGATTCTTGGGAACACAACCACCTGCACATTCCCCTCCAAGCTACTCACCTTCCTGACTTGGCAATATGTCACCATTCCTTTAGTGACGCAGGGTTTAAATTCTGGAACTCCATCCCAAGCAACACCATGGGTCCAACGACCATCACATGGACTGCAGCAGTTCAAAAAGACAGCTTACCACTGCCTTCTCAAGAGCAACAAGGGGTGGGCAATAAATACCGGTTCAGCCAGCCCAAATCCCATTAATGAGTATGTTTTAAAACAAAATTCCACATTCCATTCTGTGTCTGTAACTCACCAATCATATTCACCATACTCCGTATATTCTCACACATGTAACCTAGTCATACACATAACCCTGACTTAGAACTAGAACAAAGGAAGTGAAGTTAGAATAAAGGAGAAATCAAAACACTCTATTGCCTGTCCAGTATTATGTGCACCTCAGTGACAGTTACCCTTTTGGAGATGGTCTTCTGATGCCCACAACTCTGATTTAATTTAAATCCCCTACAGCACTAGCAAAGTACCCCACAAGAAAATTCATCCTGGCTCTGTTCAGGTACAAGCTCGCTGAGCTTGTACAGGTGCCATCTCATCTACAGCCAATCCCAATGTCCCAGGAATCCAAACCCCGCTCTCTGGCATAACTTTTCCAGCCAGGGCTTCATCTGTTTTATCCTTGCATTTCTCATTTGCATGAGGTACTAGAAGGAATCCAGAGATTGCTACTCTTAAGATGCTGCTTGCTAATTTTTTATATTAGCTCTCTAAATTCCGATCCTAGGACCACATTCTCCTTTGCTACCTATGCTGTTAGTACCAATGAGGACCACAGCCCACGACTCATCACACTACCCCAGAAAACAGTCCTGCAATTTTCTTTGTGACCCTGGCACCAGACAGGCAACATATCACCCTGGAGTCACATCTATGGCTGCAGAAATCTCTCTATTTTTCCTCTAACTAATAAATCACCAATTACTCTTGCTCTTCCTTCGCTCCTGCACAGCTGACCCATGAATGATGCCACAGACTTAGCTGTTGCTGCTCTCCCTGAAGAGGCTGGCACTTTCTTGCCCTAAAGGACATTAGTGAACCAGACGATAATTGTCATAGTCACCATTACTGATAGCCAGGTTTATATCTGAGATTTATTAACTGAATTAAATGCAACTAGCTGCTACAGTGGGATTTGAACCTATGTCCTAGGTCTAATGATTACTAATTCAATGACATTACCACTATGCCATCATCTCCCTGAACATTCTAAGAGGCAAGGCGAACAAGTATAAATGTTCATGTTCCTATTTTTATCAATTATTGCAAGCTGGCATAGAAACACATACCATCAATTTGAAAACATCTTACTTGTTTATGAGTGGTTCTGCAGTTTCCTTGTGATAGAAAACAGGAATGGGTACCCCCCAGCAACGCTGTCTTGAAATACACCAATATGTCCGTCTGTCCAACATGGCAATCATACTATTCATTGCTGAATGTGGAATCAGTTTTACTTTCTTCAACAACTCCTAAAGCAAAGGAACAAAACATCTTATTTTAGTACCAAGCACGTTGACAAAACTGCAAATGGCTTCAATGAAAAAATCAAACGAAATAGAAAATGTCCAGCAATATCTTCAGCTCAAACAACACTTTGTTTTTTAAGAACGCCTTCCAGCAGTCAAGTTTTTCACCAATGCTTCAACATGGAAAGGTGTTGGTCAGGATTTTACAAAATGAATAAAAATAAAACTGACAGTGCTTCCCCTGAGGGTGCACCGTTACATCTCGCTGAAAGTCTTGGCACTGAAATTAACACAACGTGGACTTAGGCTCCTTGCTCGTCACTAAATTATATCGCCTGTTACTTCACGGTTACAGGATCAACATCCTGGAATGCTCTTCCATGTAATACTGTAGGTGTACCTGCACATGATGGCCTGCATCGCATGACCAAGTATTAAAAGGCAATTATGAATGTGCAACAAACACTGGCCTTACCAAAGATGCTCAGACTCCATGAAAAAAAAAGTAAGAGAGCAGAAAAAGTTAGATTTAGTGCATCTAATAATACATCAATTTTTAAAAAAACAGTATACATAAGTGACACGTATGATCAAACAACCTTTTTGGCTCTGGAATCTATTTCCTTCAAAAGCTGGAGTTTTGGAGAATTTTTTTTATTTTTAACTATTTCTTTATCTCCCTTTACCCCAGTTGTTCCTGATATTTATTTCACTTTCTTTCCTGATTCATATTTCTCTATGAATTCAGTTTCAAACTTCCTGTTTTATATTCATGTCCCAATGGAGATCCTTCAATCTGAATTGCTGAAGAGCTTTGCTGCTTCTCACTTTGCTCACAAATGTCTAGAGGTGCTGCACTGGGTCAGATGCCAGATTACAGACCCACTCGCTCAAAAACTAGTGAAACAATTGTCAGCAACTGCTGGAGGCGAGCGCTGTTCCTTTGCCATTGACTATAAAATCTTGACACCATATTGCAGATTCTTTTCCCGTTACTTAAACAGAAAAGGATTCCCACTTGTTGGGGTACATCTAATTTTGCGTGCTTATATACAATGAAAAAGCATGGCATGTTTGATTTACAAACGAGAACAAACCAGTCCATTATCTGTTCCAATTCACATTCCAACATTTAATCCTTTTTTGATTGACAGGAATACTTTCCAGCACAGAATCAAAAACATTAAACAATTGCTGAATTTAATGTGTTATCAAAAATACACCCCTGACAAAGCGATATACTGTTTTTCAAGGAAAGATAATAAGATATTGGAGCACAACTAGGCCATTCAGCCCATTGAGTCTGCTCCTTCATTCGATCATACCTGATATGCTGTAGCTGGACTGGCCACTCAAAATGGGAAAATTGGATAATAAAGCATGCTGGGAAATTGAGCTAAGCATTGGCCAAAATATACAGACAAAAGACACTGAAATAAACATGCTAGAGACCCAGACAGGCAGGCTGCAGGTGCAGACAGCACAATATACAATTGACTAAGCCTATTTATCAGGACAATGGGAAACACTGACCTGTTTATGGAACTTAGGGACACCTCACACTCTTATCTGGAAAGCCTACATGACTTATATGCCCCTGACACTTTCAGAAATGGAGGACCAAAGACCACCCCACCATACGTATGACACTGCCTGATTGGGTCCAGTCAATCAGGGGGATCGATTCCTGATAATCCATTGGTGGGAATCGAAGATCCTCCCAAAGGAATATGGAAGCTTCCAAGGATAAGAATCACCACAGCAGCACCCTTGGGAGCGGTAACTCAAAACCAACCATGGTAAGAAGTGGCACCCCTGGGCGCCTTGGGAGAGGAAGTCCAGATGACCGTCACCAATTCGATCAAGGCCAAGGTCGAGTGTGATGATGTTTGTTCATTCCAAGTTAAGTAAAAGTACAAGATACTGACTTAGATTTAGTGTTAATTGTTAGTTTGTAGCATAATCATTATTATAGTATTAATGGTGTTATAATCAATAAAGATCATTTCCAAATACTATTAAAAGTTGACTCAAAGTCCTTTGCAGGATATACAAGCTAAACATACTGTGTGGCTAGCGCAACAACGTTTCTCAACTTCATTCTCCTGCCTTCTCCCTGTAACCTTTGATCTCTTTACTATCAAGGTCCTATCTCTGTCTGTCTTAAATACACTCAATGATTTGGCCTCCACAGCCCTCTGTGGCAATGAGTTCCACAGAGTCACCAACCTCTGGCTGAAGAAATTCCTTTTCATCTCATTTCTAAAGGGGTCTGAATGGAAAGAAATGTTACATCAAATTTTAAAATAGCAATGCCTCTTTAAAGCTACAAAATCTAATTATTAAGCAGGTACACCCTCACAACAACCAGAATTTCACTGCTGAAACAAAGGCATGAAGCTGCAAATATACACAATGTCATTCAATATATGGGAACAATTAGGAATAATGGGCTCAAGCTTCAAAACTAGACAAATTTAGCAACAATCATTTTCTCTCCATGGCTGATGACTGACTCAAATGTTTATCTAGCATTGTAGGGCTTGATTGTGGTTTGGTGAAGGAATTTCACAAAATGCAAAGAACTTGCAAGTTTCAAACGATGGCGTGAAGTACTTGGTTCTGTGCAATTTGTCATCTTTAACTGCAATTGCTGTGGGCAACTGGAGGGTACAAATACTTTGATCGTGTCAGTTCAGTATTTTCTACATTCTATAAAAGATTATTGGCTTGAAACACTTTGGTTTTCTCTCCACAGATTCTGTATGAGCTATTATTTCCAACATTTTGTGTTTTTATTGTTCATATTTTCCACTGCTCTGTCAATTAAGAAATATGCGCGCTTAGGCAACATGTACGATAAAGAGCACATTGTGTACAATACATTAAATTTTGAGTACAAGTATTTAACAACCTATATTCAATGTAGGCAATAGCACACTCACATGGCACCATGCTGCTACTGCAATAGTCCAAACTAGCAATTGCTTATTCATTTACTCAACACATTTCACTTCCAAATAAAAATATGTACTTCAATAAAAAGTGCATTCCTTTGTGGAACATTGCACAAATCAAGATAAGCTAAGGCCTGAGGTCCTTAATTGTATTCTGATACTGTCAATCCTGACAATATTGACAAAGAGAAAATGCCATACATTAATTCTAATATCGCAAACCTCAAACTGAAAGTAGAAGCTTCGAACATACATGGGGTATATATTTAAAGAATGACTAGTAGATTACAGAATCACACAGCACAGAAGGAAGTCATTCAGTCCATTTCATTATTTAGTCTTAGATGGTAAAAAGGCACTCAGAGGAGTAGCTGATGCCTCTTTGACAATGCTGCATTAAAAGTATTTACAGCTGAGAAATAGGAAGTCTGGCCCAACAAGTCCAAGATGACGTTTATGTTCTAAAAGAATCTCCTCCCAAAGTCTTTCATTTAAAGTTATGAACATATCCTTGCAGTTCTTTCTCCCTCAAATGCTTAAGTGGCTTCCCCTTAAATACATATACACTAATCGTTCTCCGCCAATTCCCTTGCGCTGCTCCTTTTAGAATATTTATATAAGGACAGCAGGTTTATATAAAGCAGCAGGTTAGCAGGTGACGAGGAAGCTTCAACTCCATTGAAAATTAGGAAAAAAGTTAAAGGGAAGGAGAACTCAAAAACTGTTAGTAATGGAGGTAATAGGACCCAAAAAGAAGATGCAAAAACTGGCATAAGGGCACTTTATCTCAATGCCCGGAGCATTCGAAACAAGGTGGATGAGTTGACGATGCAAATCATGGCAAATGGGTATGATTTAGTGGCCATTACAGAGACATGGTTACAGGATGGTCATGACTGGGAGTTAAATATCTAGGGGTATCAAACTGTTCGGAAGGACAGACAGGAAGGTAAGGGAGGTGGTGTTGCTCTGATTTTTAAGGATGATATCAGGGCAGTAGTGAGAGATGATATAGGTTCTACTAAACAAAACGTTGAATCCATTTGGGTGGAAATTAGGAACAGCAGGGAGAAGTCACTGATAGGTGTGGTCTATAGGCCACCAAATAACGACATCATGGTGGGGCGGGCAATAAACGTAGAAATAGCTAATGTATGTAAAAATGGTACAGCAATTATCATGGGGGATTTTAATCTACATATCAATTGGTCAAACCAGGTCAGTCATGGCAGCCTTGAGGAGGGGTTCATAGAATGCATCCGCGATAACTTTCTTGAACAATATGTAATGGAACCTACGAAGGAGCAAGCTATCCTAGATCTAGTCCTGTGTAATGAGACAGGAATAATTAATGATCTCACAGTTAGGGATCCTCTCGGAAGGAGCGATCACAGTATGGTCGAATTTAAATTACAGATGGAGCGTGAGAAGGCTAAATCCAGTACCTGTGTCCTGTACCTAAACAAAGGAGACTATGAAGGAATGAGGAAGGAGTTAGCTAAGGTAGAATGGGAGCAAAAACTTTATGGTGGGTCAATTGAGGAACAGTGGAGGACTTTCAAAACGATTATTCACAGTGCTCAGCAGAAGTATATTCCAGTGATAAGGAAGAACTGTAGGAAAAGAGAGCGCCAGCCATGGATGTCTAAGGAAATAAAGGAAAGTATCAGATTGAGAAAAAACACATACAAATAAACAAAGAGTAGTGGGAAACTAGTAGACTGGGAAATCTTTAAAGGCCAACAGAAAGCCACAAAAAAAGTTATAAAGAAAAGTAAGATAGATTATGTGAGTAAACTAGCTCAGAATATAAAAACAGGCAGCAAAAGTTTCTATAAATATGTAAATCGTAAAAGAGTAGCGAAGGTAAACATTGGTCCTTTAGAGGATGAGAAGGCCAATTTCATAACTGGGAATGAGGAAATAGCCAAGACATTAAACAATTATTTTGTGTCGGTCTTCACAGTGGAAGACACAAATAACATGCCGAAAACTAATGGCAAGAAGGTTATAGCAGGTGAGGACCTAGAAACTATCATTATCACTAAGGAGGCAGTGCTGGGCAAGCTAATGGGGCTAAAGGTAGACAAGTCTCCTGGCCCTGATGAAATGCATCTCAGGGTACTAAAAGAGGTGATGGGGGAAATAGCAAATGCACTAGTAATTATTTACCAAAATTCACTGGACTCTGGGGTGGTTCCCGCAGATTGGAAAACAGCCAATGTGACGCCACTGTTTAAAAAAGGTAGTAGATAAAAACCAGGTAACTATAGGCCAGTTAGCTTAACTTCGGTAGTGGGGAAAATGCTTGAATCTATCATTAAGGAAGAAATAGCAAGACATCTGGATGTAAATTGTCCTATTGGGAACACCCAGCATGGGTTCACGAAGGGTAGGTCATGTTTAACTAATTTGGTGGAATTCTTTGAGGACATTACTTGTATGGTGGACAATGGGGAACCTGTGGATGTGGTGTATCTGGATTTCCAGAAGGCATTTGACAAGGTGCCACACCAAAGGCTGCTACATAAGATAAAGTTGCATGGTATTACAGGTAATGTATTGGCATGGATAGAGGATTGGTTGACCAGTAGAAAGCAAAGAGTAGGGGTAAATGGGTGTTTTTCTGGTTGGCGGTCAGTGGCTAGTGGTGTGCCTCAGGGATCAGTGTTGGGACCGCAAATTGTTTACTATTTACATAGATGATTTGGAGTTGGGGACTAAGTGCGGTGTGTCAAAATTTGCAGATGACACTAAGGTGAGTGGTAGAGCAAAGTGTGCAGAAGACACTGAAAGTCTGCAGAGGGGTATAGATAGTCTAAGTGAATGGGCAAAGGTCTGGCAGATGGAGTACAATGTTGATAAGTGTGAGGTCATCCATTTTGGTAGGAATAACAGCAAAATGGACTATGTTTTAAATGGTAAAAAATTGCAGCACGCTGCTGTGCAGAGGGACTTGGGTGCACTTGTGCATGAATCGCTGAAGTTGGGATTGCAGGTGCAGCAGGTGATTAAAAAGGCAAATGGACTTTTGTCTGCCATTGCTCAAGGGATGGAGTTTAAAAACAGGGAGTCTATGCTGCAGCTGTATAGGGTCCTGGTGAGGCCACACCTGGAGTACTGTGTGCAGTTTTGGTCTTCTTACTTGAGAAGAGATACACTAGCACTGGAGGGGGTGCAGAGGAGATTCACTCGGTTGATTCCGGAGTTGAGACGGTTGGATTATGAGGAGAGACTGAGTAGACTGGGATTATACTCATTGGAATTCAGAAGGATGAGGGGAGATCTTATAGAAACATATAAGATTATGAAGGGAATAGATAAGGTGGAGGCAGGGAGGTTGTTTCCGCTAGCAGGTGAAACTAGGACTAGAGGGCATCGCCTCAAAATAAAGGGAAGCAGATGTAGGACTGAGGTCAGGAGGAACTTCTTCACCCAAGGGTTGTGAATCTGTGGAATTCCCTGCCCAGTGAAGTGGTTGAAGCTACCTCACAGAATGTTTTTAAGGCAAGGCTGGATAAATTTTTGAACAATAAAGGAATTAAGGGTTATGGTGAGTGGGCGGTTAAGTGGAGCTGAGTCTCAAAGATCAGCCATGATCTTATTAAATGGCGGGGCAGGCTCGAGGGGCCAGATGGCCTACTCCTGCTCCTAGTTCTTATGTTCTTATGTCACACGACAATGCCACTGTCATGTCTTCCCTCAGTTCTTTTGATGCATATGGATGCAATCCATCCAATCATACAGTCTATGCGCTTTACGTTGAATGAATTCAGTCATCCCATCCTTTTCAATCTTAAATATCATTATGCCATTATTTTTCTTATAATGCTGTGTCCACCATCTAAGTTTCTCTGGAAGCACTCAATTGTTGAATATTTCGCTCATTCCACTAAGACATGAGAGCTTATCATGTATATCTTTAATTTCCCCTACCCTGATTTTCTTTGCTTCTTTATGTTTGTATAATACTTGGGCTATTTCTTTTAATTTTCCTTATTAATTCAATTTTGCAGATTCTCCTTGGCCTTCTAATTTGACTTTTGGCTTCTATCCTATAACCTTGTCATACTCCTTTCATTATCCTCCCCTTCATATTTATGCACACCTTTTCTCTTTACTTTAAATTTTAGCTGGTATTTTGTATTCATCGGTGATGAGTCACAAGTTTTGTTCTGCACTGCAGTGGCATACATGTTTCCTGACTCTACTGATTTCAGTTTTAAATGTTTCTCATTACTTTCTATTTCATTCTCAGTAAGTTCTTTTTTTGGATTCGTTTGTGGGATGTGGGCTTCACTGGCTGGCCAGCGTTTATTACCCGTCCCTAGCTGCCCTCGAGAAAGTTGTAATGAGTTGCCTTCTTGAACCGCTGTAGTCCACCTGCTGTGGGTAGACCCACAATGCCATTAGGGAGGGAATTCCAGAATTTTGACCCAGCAACAGTGAAGGAATGGTGATATATTTCCAAATCAGAGTGGTGAGTGGCTTGCAATGGAGCCTGGAGGTGGTGGTGTTCCCATGTATCTACTGCCCTTGTCCTTCCAGATGGAAGTGGCCACAGGTTTGGAAAATGCTGTCTGAGGATCTTTGGTGAATTTCTGCACTGAAAGAGTGGATGTTTGTGAATGTGGTGCCAATCTTGCAGGCTGCTTTGTCCTGATGGTGTCAAGCTTCTTGAATGTTTTTGGAACTGCAGCCATCCAGGCAAGTGGGGAGTATTCCATTACACTCCTGAGTTGTGCCTTGTAGATGGTGGAACAGACTTTGAGGAGTCAGGAAGTAAGGTACTCACCATAGTATTCTTAGCCTCTGATCTGCTCTTGAAGCCACTATATTTACGTGGAGAGTCCAGTTGAGTTTCTGGTCAATGGTAATCTCCAACTTATTGATAGTGGGGATTTCTGTGATTGTGACACCCATTGAATGTCAAGGAATTGTGGTCATATTGTCTCTTATTGGTGATGGTCATAGTCTGGCATTTGTGTGGCACGAATGCTACTTACCAGTTGTCAGCCCAAGCTTGAATATTGTCTAGATTTGGTTGCATTTGAACATGGACTGCTTCAGTACCCGAGCAGTCATGAAGGGTGCTGAACATTGTGCAATCATCAGTGAACATCTCCACTTCTGGCCTTATGATGGGGGGGAAGGTCATCAGTGAAGGAGCTGAAGATGGTTGAGGCTAAGACACCACGCTGAGGAACTCCTGCAGGGATATCCTGGAACAGAGATGACTGACCTCCAACAGCCACTACCATCATCTTCTGTGCCAGGAATGATTCCAATCAGCAAAAAGTTTGCCCCCTGATACCCATTGATTCCAGCATGGCTAGGGCTCCTCAATGCCACACTTGGTTGAACGTAGCCTTGATGTCAAAGGTTGTCACTCTCACCTTGCCTCTGGAATTCAGCTCTTTTGTCCATGCTTGAACCAAGGCTGTAATGAGGTCAGGAGCTGAGTGATCCTGGTGGAATCCAAACTAGACTCGGAGCAGGTTATTGCTGAGCAAGTGCAACTTGGTACTATTGCCAGATGTTCTCAGGAACCTTAGCCTTTGCAGTATCCAGCGTCCCCAACTATTTCTTGATATCACATCAAGTGAATTGAACTGGCTGAAGACTGGTATCTGTAATGCTTGGGAGCACTGAAGGAGGCCAAGATAGACCACCCACTCAGCACTTCTGGTTGAAGATTGCTAAAAAGCTTCAACCATATCTTTTGTACTGATGTGTTGGACTCATCCATCACTGAGGATGGGGATATTTGTGGAGCCTCCTCCTCCAGTGAGTTGTTTAATCGCCCACCATCATTGAGAAACAGGTGATGGCATAGACATAAAATTATGTCATCTTTGTGAGTTTAAAAAAAAATTAGAAACTCAGTTCAGATTCAGGGAGGATGCAGAGACGTTACCATTGCTCCTTCTCACTCCCATAAAATCAGCTTTGCTTCCAATATGTCTGCACTCATTTTAGTATTTACCTTACTTTGCCTTCAAGAAAGAGGAGAAACTCGGAAGGAAAAAATATACTTATAGCATCAGTAACTTCTAAAGTATGGTAAAACAGAGGAAGATGTGGCAAACTCAGAACAGAAAAAAACAATAGCTGATGATGTATTAAAGAATCCAAAATTATATCTACACGCTAATATATGGCAAAATTACAAGTACTAACAATTTAAATTTTCATTACAATAACTTAATCTCAAAGAAAAAGTTTACCTGGGCTCTGTTCTTGATACTTGCAGTATCTACAAACCACTGTTTGCTGGCTCGTATAATTACTGGCCTTTTTGTTCTCCAGTCATATGGGTAACTGTGTCTTATGTCTTCCTCTTTCATCAGCATGTTTGCCCCATGCAACATTTGGATGACTAATGAAATTGAGAAATTATAATCCATAAAAATTGTATGAAGACTATAACCTGTTTACAAAAAGTGGTACTGTTTCCAAGAAAGATAAACAGGAAACTAAAGCAGTGTTAATAATAATCATCATCATTATTATAATAACGAAATACTTGGCGACATGAAACTACGATGAATTCAATACAATGGAGAGAGCACTCTTAACTGCTATTTTGTCCACACAAAACAGTGACATTGCTCATGAGAAACTAGAATCAGCAATCGCATAGCAGCTAAAAAAACAACTACACACCTGTGCAACTTCTCAACTGCATCTTAAATTTGTACCTTTCAGGTGAGCTGCTGGAATCAAGCTGAGATCATGATATGCAATCAGTTGATTGAAACTAAGCACGTTCTTTTGATTATAGGCCTTCAATTATTTTCAAGGACTGGTCAGTTTATAATACCTGATTGCTACCAGTGCATCGAGTCAGTGATGCTCTGTTGACTCCTAAAATTAGAACAAATATGATTCCACAAATTTTAACTATGTAACATACACTAGTTGATGCTTCAATGTGCTTTAGAACTCAAGTGCACATTGACAATTCCTTACACAGAAATTTGCAATTATGTCGAAGAAGAACTAAGCACAGACTGGGGATCACCTTGCAGGAAGACAAAGAAACTAAAAAACAAACCAATCTCCCTGGACAAAACTTACACACTCATCCATCAGCTAGATATCATTGTCATCTGCCTTGCTCAAGATGGACACAAACGGATGGCTGAACAAGGCAAAGCAGTGAGAAAACAAAACTAAATTAAAATCAGAATTAAAAGTTTTTGATGATTTCACTATTTTTCTCCTTTCTACTCTTTCAGGATTTGATTTTTCCCTGGTTTACTCCTGTTGGCTTTATAATTACTAGGTAACCTTGAATAGCTTAACAACATGGGTGGCACGTTGGCTAGCACTGCTGCCTCACCGTGCCAGGAATCCAGGTTTGATTCTACCCTCGGACAACTATCTGGGTTGAGTTTGTACGTTCTCCCAGTGTCTGCGTGGGTTTCCGCCGGGTACTCTGGTTTCTTCCCACAGTCCAAAAATGTGCAGGTTAGGTGGATTGGCCATGCTAAATTGCCCTTTGTATCCAAAGGTGCGCAAGTTAGGTGGATTAGCCATGGGAAATGCAGGGTTAGAAGGAAAGGGGAGTGGGATGGGTCAGGGTGGGATGCTCTTCGGAGGGGTGGTGTGGACTCGTTGGGCCTATTGGCCTGTTTCTACTCTGTAGGGATTCTATGATCTCCTATAAACATGGTTATTATTAATATTGCAAATCTCAGCAAGCAGCACCAGCAGGATGTGCGGTGACAGTGGGTATGGGGGCATTACACAATTTTCCTCATCTTTTTCCCAGGTAACAACTCTTTAAAAGTACTTTATTGGCTATTAACCACAAGTTGGACAAGCCAAACATTGTGAAATATTAATGAATGTGCTTTCTTAATCAGAGTTTTTGCAGAGCCATTTCCAATTGATTTTGCCCTAAACAAAAGATATGAAAGCCACTTACTGTCTCCTCAACAACTTTAGCTGAGCTCAGCTAAGCAAGCCCAAAGCAAGGATTAACTGTTGAACACTACTTTGCTCTATCGTTTAGCTACTAATCTCCAAACCCAATAAATCATTGGGAGAACAGACAAAACAAGACTTCCTAAACATTCTTCAACCGAGGTATTACTAACCTGTTTCATTTCCTTCATTAAGGACATACTTGTTTTGAAGCTCTAATCCAGCCGCTTCAGTGAAAAAGCCATTTTCATCCACTAAACAATCCTAAAACAGTGAAAACCAAACTAATTAAAACTGCAGCAATGGGGAATATGATGCATTATCCCAGTATTAGATAAGGCAAAATTTCCTCCAATTAAAGAATGGGTAGACTGAAGCTATTATCTTTGTACCTGCAACAAACACTGTTTCTGAGCTACTAACTTCAGCATCCCTCTAGAAGACTGTTTGAGGCTAGACTAAACCGGCGGCCACCTCCACATCCTACCTGAATCTGAACTCAGTTTCTAATCATTTTTTTAAATTCACAAAGATGACATAATTTTATGTCTGTACCATTGTCTGTCTCTACCCCTGCCTCCATCCATCCACCTGCTGCTGTAACCCTGATTCATGCTTTTATTACCTCCAGACTCAAAATTCTTTCCCAGCCAGAATCACATCTTCCACCCATTGTAAATTTAAGCTTATCTAAATTGTATTCAGAAACTATTCCCTCAGTCTGGGGAATCTAGGATGAAGAAAAAAATTAGAGCCAGGCTTTTTCGGAAAAAAAGTTAGAAAAATTAGAAAACACAAAGGGTGTTAAAAGCTTGAAATGCTCTTCCACAAATGGGAGTACATGCTGGACCAATTGTAAATTTTAGATCAGAAAAGGATTGATTTTTGTGAACCAAAATTATCAGAGAGATATGGGGTAAAGGCAGAGATATGAAGGCAGGTTTCAGTTCAGCCCTGATTTCATGAAATGGTATAATGAAATAGCCGGTTCAATGGATTGAATAGCCAGCCATTTTCTAACCCACAGCAACCTATTTACCCAACACTACTACCCTTGCGGGCCTACACTGACTATGTAAATAAAGAATGTTGTTGTGGTTTTCATTTCTCCCAACCTGACTCGATTCAATGTATTGTTGTTGTTAGAATCACAGAGCACAGGTGGTCACCATTAGGTATTTGAGTTTGGTGCACATATTAATCTGTAACTTACAACAGAGAGTTTGTGGTGGGAAGCGACACCATAATCTTCCATTCCATGAGCTGGGGCGGTATGGACCAACCCTGTCCCTTTCACCATTGTGACGTGGTTTGCAGGCAAAAGCTGGGACTCTCTTCCAGGAATTGTGGGATGGCTACAGACTCCACCTTTTAAATCAGAACCTACACCAGGACAAGTAATAACGTATCTGCATCAAGAGTTATGAAGGATTAAAAATGTATCAAAACTCCATACAATGAAACCCACTCTGAAGTTATTTGGTAATAGATAAGCTAATTTGATTTTACACAAATCAGAAATCACATGACACCAGGTTATAGTCCAACAAGTTTATTCGAAAACAGGTATATTCAGGTCTGAGGAAGGAGCTGAGCTCCAAAGCTTGCGTTTTCAAATAAACCTGTTGGACTATAACCTGGTGTCTTGTGATTTTTGACCTTGTCCATCCCAGTCCAATACCGGCACCTCCACATCATGATTCGACATGTACCATGTAATTCATCTCAGTATTCCATGCATAAGGAGGAAGGGCAAAAAAAAAATTCAGACATGTTCTCTATCCTGATCATTAACGAGCAAGCTCTGCTGAAAGTAGTCTTGTATACAATTCAGGGCTTGACTAGAATACTTCTCAAAAAGTCTCTTAACACACTCACTGTCAAGGCTTATACCTGTAAAATGATCATCTGGACCAAGTCTTAGAGGAACATTTTTGCATATGAAACCATGGCCCTATAATAAATGCAACCTTTAGGGCACAGACACTAAGGTAAAATTGGAGATGGGATACAATTTAGAATATATTATAAAGTGCTATAATTTTCAATGAAATAAAGAGAAACTCAAGATAAATCTACTTTAATTTCTCTTGCCTGTGACTGTCTGAAGAATTTCAAACTGCGTGTCCAGGATAGCTGCTGTAGATTCTACACATTCTGTACCTAGAAGGTAGAGTTCTTCTGTATTTAAGCACTTCACTAGAGAATACCTGCATTCAGAAACAGCACAGTATTGCATTAGCATTAGGAATTTACTGATTTTGTAATCAAGGCCATTTGATAACTAAATTTTACCTTCCTAAAACAAGAAATTGAGCTATCTTCCAGTTTTTGAATACAACTTGACAGTTACTGATGTCAGCTGCACTGTGTGATTATTGTGAAACCTCACTATTGCACTACAACAGTTAACTTGTTGAACTAACAATTGTATCTTTCAAGTGTGCCGAAGAAAACTATAACACAGTATACTGAAATATCCCATGTCCAAGATGCAAGAAGTTATCCTACGTTCATCAAAAGCCATCACTCTCTAAACTAAAGACGTTATTAAGCACTCATACAAATCTTCAACTTCATTACACTAAAAGCAACAGATTCATTTCAATTTAGGGGAAACTTTTAGGGTTTTAGTTTCTTCCATGCAAAACTAATTAATACTGAAGGCAAGCACCTATGGACCCATAGTTACACTGTATTCAAATGTTGCATTTGTCCCAAAAACAATATTACCTTGGCTTAACTTTTTAAAGTTTTTTTTCACAAAATAAACCACTGTCATACATGGAACATAATGATTTCTTTCTGCTAAAGAAGTGTCCTCTTCACAAAGAACTACAAAGTCAAACTGTATTCAGAGAATCAGGTCATTCAAGGTTCATTTGTTGCTTGATCAAGTAACTTTTATTAGATTGTGGACACTTCTGGGCTAGATGTTAGAAGCAAACAATGGCATGACCGTTTACTTCAGTCAATAAATGTGGATGTATCCAAATTCAAGGAGGTACATCATTCTAATGTGGAATTTATAAACAACAGCAGAACTTACTCAGCATTTGGCATATAACAAACTGCCTGGTTAGCTGGAATTGTCCAAGGCTGGGTTGTCCAGATTAAAGCATGAACAGAGGATGCATCCCCTGAAAGATAAAATAGTTCTTTTCTACTTATTGTGAAGTAAAAGGAAAAACATTTTTTACCATCTGACATCCATATTACAGATGCATCCAAATTCAAATATTACTTTTTCTCCTGAAAGCATCTTTCTGATATCTGTTAACTTACCAAATGTATTCTATTATTCTTCAGCGCTGTGGACAATAACAACATTTTGCTAACTATCTCGTTTAAAGAAAACATAAAATAACCTTGAGACATCAACCAATCAGTCCATCTTATCATACTTCACTTTATTACCATTAAGTAACGAACACACCCCTGTTAATACTGTATCACAGGATACTTTCCCCTTCCCAACTTTTCCCTACCATAAGACCATAAGAAAATAGGAACAGGAGTTCGGCTCCCCGAGCCTGTTCCACCTTCAACAGAATCATGGTGGATCCAACATTCCTCAGTCATTTTCCTGCATTCTCCCCTTAACCCTTGATTCCCCTACTGATTAAGAATCTATCTCAGCCTGAAGTATACAAGGACTTTGCCCCTCAGCTCCCCGTGGCAATGAGTTACAAAGACTCATAACACTCAGGGAAGGAATTCCTCCTCATCTCAGTCTTAAATTGGCACCCCTTTATTCTGGTCCTAGACTTTCCCATCAAGGGAAACATCCTCTCAGTATTTACCCTGTCAAGCCCCTTAAGAATCCTATATGTTTCAACGTATGAATCCTATATGATCACTTCTCATTCTTCTAAACTCTAATGAAGTCTCAACCTGTTTGGCCTTTGCTCATAAGACAATCCCTCTCATACTAGGGATCATTCTAGTGAACCTTCTCTGAACTGCCTCCAATGAAATTACATCTTTCCCTAAATAAGGGACCAAAACTGCTAACAGTACTCCAGAAGCGATCTCACCAACACCATGCACAGTTGCAGTAAGACTTTCTTACCCTTACACTCCAACCTCCTTGAAATGAGAGTCAACATTCCATTAGCCTTCCTGACTACCTTCAGCACCTGTGTGGTAAATTTCTGTATTTCATTTACAGGTAACTCCAGTTCCTTTGTGTTGTGGTTTACTGCAATTTCTGTCCATTTAAACAATATTCTGTTCTTTCGTTATCCTTTCCAAAACGAACAAGTTCATATTTTCCCACATTATACTCTATTTGACAACTTTTCACCCACATACTTAACCTGTCAATATCTCTGTGCAAACTGTTTGTACCCCTCTGACAACTTGACTTGCCACCTGTTTTGGCACGGTCTGCAAATTTGGCGAGAGTACATTCACTTCCTTCCTCCAAGTCATCAGTATGTATTCTAAACAGTTGTGGTCCCAGCACTGATCCCTGTGGAACCCCACTAGTTGTGGGTCACCAACCTGAAAAAGAACCCCTTATCTCCACTAAATAAAAACCAAAAGAACAGCGGATGTTGTAAATCAAAGAAAAATAGAAATTGCTGGAAAAGGCTCAGCGGGTCTGAAAGCATCAGTGGAAAGAAATCAGAACAAAATCAAATCACTCAACTTGAAATGTTAACTCTGATTTCTTCCCACAAATGCTGCCAGGCCTGCCGAGCTTTTTCAGCAATTTCTGTTTTTGTCCCTTATCTCCACTCATCATTTCCTGCCTGTTAGCCAATTCTCTATCCTTGTCAATATACTACCTCCAACACCGTGGGCTCTTAAGATTTAACCTTTTGTGTCATATCTGGTCGAATGCCTTCTGGAAGTCCAAATACAACACACATCTATTGGTTTCCTTCTACGCATTCTGGTTCATATTTCCTGGAAACATTCTAACAGTCACGATTTCCCTTTCATGACGCCATTCTGCCTCGGCTTGATTGGATCAAAACTTTCCAAACGTTCTGCTATTACTTCCTTAAAACTGATTCCAATACTTTTCCAACAATAGACGTTAGGCTAATCAGCCGCATTTAGCCTCTCTTGCATTTTAAATAGGATTGTCACATTACTAGTTTTACAATCCTGTAATACGTCTTGTAGCATGGTGGCTCAGGGGTGGCACAGTGGCTCAATGGTTAGCACTGCTGCCTCACAGCGCCAGGGGCGCGGGTTCAAATCCACCTGTCCTATTTCTTATGGTCTTATGGAAGGTGACTGTCTGTGTGGAGCTTGCACGTTCTCCCCGTGTCTGAGTGGGTTTCCTCCAGGTGCTCTGGTTTCCTCCCACAGTCCAAAGATGTGCAGGGTAGGTGGATTGGCCATACTAAATTTTCCATAGTGTTCAGGGATAAGCAGATTAGGTTGGTTTTGGGTTATGGGAAATGGGTCTGGGTGGGATGCTCTGAGCGTTGGTGTGGACTTGTTGGGCCAAAGGGCCTGTTTCCACACTGTAGGGATTCTATGATTCTTCAGGAGCCAAGGATTTACAGCTAATGCATCCACTATCTCTGTAGTTACCTATTTTAGGATCTTAGAATGCAAGCCATCAAATCCAGGGGACTGAACTGCCTTTAGCCTCAATACTTTGTCCAATACTACTTCTTTAATAAAGGTGATGGCACTTAATTTTGCCTCTGTAGCCTTTGGTATTAATGATATGTTCAAACTATCTTCAAAGACTGATGCAAAGCATTTTTTTTTAAACTCTACTGCCATTACTTTGTTACCCATAACCAACTCTTCAAATTCATTTTCTAAGGGGCCTATGTTCACTTTGATCTCGGTCTTCCTTTTATATATTCAAAGAAACTCAATGTCAGTTTTTATATTCCTCACTAGTTTGCCCACGTAATTTATTCTCTGTCTTTATTAAATTTTTACACCTCCTTTGCTGGATTCTGAATTTATCCCAGCCTTTGGGGCTATCATTGACTTTGGCTTCCTTATATGCTTTTACTTTCAACTTAATATCCTCCCTAACTTCATTTGTCATGGTTGATTTATCCCTCTCTTAGAATCTTTTTGCCTTATTGCTGTTTTTGCTGAGAGTCACGAATTATCTTCTTAAATGCCTGCCACTGCTTGCTTACTGATATCTTTTGTAATCTATCCACCCAGTTCACTTTAGCTAACTCTATCCTCATTTCATTATAATTCCTTTTATTCAAGTTAAACACAGTTGTTTCTGACCCAAGTTTCTCACTCTTGAACTGTGTATTAAATTCTCTATTATGACCACTACTTCCTAAGCAACCTTTTATTCTGAGTTCATTTGTTAAGCTTGCCTCATTACCAGATCCAAGTCAGCCTGTTCCCTGGTTGGCTCCAAGAATATTATTCTTAGAAACTATCCCTGTTACGCTGTGAATTTGTTGTCAGAGATACTCTTCACAATTTGATTAACCCAAACACCATAAAGATTAAAATCACCCATAATTATTGTTCTACTCTTTTTAGATGCTCCTATTATTTGTTGATTTATAGCCTTGCCTACAGAGTGGCTACTATTTGGAGGCCTGTACACTACTACTACCAACGTTTTCTTATCCCTGCTGCTTTTTTAAACCTCCACCCAAACAGATTCTACATCACGCAGGCCTAGATCATGTCTCACAACTGTCCTCATTTCATCTCTCATTAATAGTGCTACCCCACCAATCTTTCCATCACTCATGTCTCTCTGAAAGGTCAAATATCCTTCTATGTAAAGTTCCCAGTTTCAATTTCTTTGTAACCACATTTCCGTAATAGCTATGAGATCATATTCATTTACCTACCTTATTCTGAACGCTTTGTGCGTAGAGATACAAAGTCTTTTAAGGTTGTTCCGCTATTGAATTTCCCTACACTTTTATGGTTGTTTGGTACAATATGACCCTCACGTATTCTATCCCTTCTTTTTATTTTCTGGTAACGATCAGCCCAATCACTAACCTGCAATCTGACTTTCGTCTTTACCCTTGATTTTCTTATTTTCCATGCAACTGAACACATCCACTGTGCCCTTCACACCTCCTCCCCAAGTTAGCTACTCACATTCC